GAGGTGCGCAGAAAAGATTCTGGCGAAATCTCAGGTTCGAGTTCGGCACTAAATGTTGATTCCAGAGGGAGATCACTTGACAGGACTTCAAACAGAGGAAGATCAAAATCAAAGAACAGAAACAGGAGCAAGTCAAGGCCTGGTAAACAAGTAACATGCTGGAATTGTGGCAAAACTGACCACATAAGGAGGAACTGCATGAATCTTCAGAAGAAGGAGATTGACAGTACGATTTTAACTTAGGTGTGCAGGAAAGATTCTGGCGAGATCTCAAGTTCGAGTTCAACATTAAATGTTGATTCCAAAGGGAAATCACTTGACAAGAACTCAAACAGGGGAAGATCAAAATCAAAGAATAGAAGCAGGTGCAAGTCAAGGCCCGGTAAACAAGTAACTTGCTGGATACTAGATTCAGGAGCTTCGTTTCATACAACTTTCCATCGGAAATTGATGTGGAATTATGTTGCAGGTGACTTTGGAAAAGTATATCTGGCAGATGGAGAAGTTCTGAATGTGGTAGAAATGGGGGATATTGACATTGCAATTCCAAATAAAAACAAGTGGACTCTGCAAAAGGTCAGACACATTCCTAAACTGAAGAAGAACCTCATTTCTGTTGGGCAGCTTGATGAATGTGGACATTTAATAGTTTTCTCAGATAGTACCTGGAAGGTTACTAAAGGAGCATTGGTACTGGCTAGGGGTAAGAAAACAGGTACGTTGTATATGACTACTGGTTTAATTAACAGTGTTGATACTACTGTTGCAGAGAGCACAACAGAGTTGTGACATTACAGACTTGGCCACATGAGTCAAAGAGGTATGAAGGAACTTCAGTCCAGAGGCAAGCTACCAAAACTGAAGTCAGTTGATTTCGGTATGTGCGAGAGTTGCATTATGGGGAAGCAGAGGAATGTCAGTTTCTTGAAAAGTGGCATAACGCCAGGCAGAAAAGTTGGATCTTGTACACACAGATGTGTGGGGATCTTCTCCAATGGCATCTCTTGCAGACTCTCGTTACTACATCACATTCATTGACGATCACAGCAGAAAGGTATAGGTTTATTTCTTGAAGTATATATCTGATGTATTCAGTGTGTTCAAGACTTTGAAGGCTATGGTTGAGACAGAGACATGCTTAAAGCTGAAATGTCTGAGGTCTGATAATGGTGGTGAGTACATTGATGGTGGGTTCAAGGGGTACTGTGCAGCTCAGGGAATCAGAATGGAGAAGACCACTCCAGGAACACCACAACAAAATGGTGTTGCAGAGCGCATGAACAGGACCATTAATGAGCGGGCTAGAAGCATGAGATTGCACGCCGGACTACCACCTACTTTCTGGGCAGAAGCGGTTAGTGCTGCAGTTTATTTGATCAATAGAGGGTCATCTGTTCCATTAAACTGTGAATTACCTAAAGAAGTCTGGAGTGGGAAAAAAGGTAAAATTTTCTCACATTAAGACTTTTGGTTGCCGTTCTTATATTCTTATTAATCCTGATGCTCGTAATAAGCTTGAGGCTAAGTCAAGGAAGTGTTATTTCATTGGCTATGGAGATGAGGCATTTGGATATCGTTTCTGGGATGATCAGAGTCGGAA